CGAGTTTCTTGAGATTCTATTTGATCGGGCTAGAAATACTAGTTCTCGAGATACTCTACAATTAGAAGCCTAATTCCCAAAAGGAGTAATACCATAAAATGGTTACTCCGAAAGATTCTTAGGCACACAGTAAGAAGAATTCAAAAGAGTTAACTCAACCCAAGGAGTCAGCAAAAAAGCTATCCTACTATATCCCGCCACCTTTCAAGGATGATCACCTTTTGAATGGTGTGCACCCACGAGTGAAGTCAGCTGTGGACAACATAGTCCTAGATGTTCATCACAAAGTTGCTGCATCTATTCACCGAATCTGTGTGAACAAACGTGAAAATATTTACAAAACCGATTCCGTGGCATACACATTATGCGCCTGCAGTTGAGGTGACGTACACGTAGGCAGAGTAAACGGTTAGTTATCACAAGAAGTGACCGTGCCTATTGCAAAGTGGTTGGTGCAGTCGTTGACCCAACCGATTGCCGGTGGTCAGGTGATCACAAGAAACCCGGGTAGATTAGTTTCAAAACATTTCATGATAACACGACACATAATTGACCTTCTCTCTCTCGTCTTTCCCAACATCGTTACGCGACTGCAATGCTGCGTTTTTAACAATTAACAAAGCGTTTCTAGTTCTATTGCATCGCCCGACTTTATGAGCCCAAAATTTATTGATGCAATCAATCCTCTTTCCGCTAATTTGACCTTTTTACTTTAATCCTTCGTCTTCTTTGTTTGCGTGTACACGTTTGTTTTCTGTGCTTTTCAGTTCAATGTGCCATAAATACACATATGATTATTTTACGTCGGCAATAGAGAAAAATAAATAGAATTTTCACATCTCGTGATGTTTGTCTGATGTGGTGGGAGAAAAGCGGAGTCAACATATGCTATCATACAGTCAACGTAAGCTAAAGGAATGAAGACTAGCTAATATAAAAGAGTAACAGTAAGGGGGGAGCTCAGGAAAGTCGAAAACGTCTCAGAATGTGACGTTTATTAAGAAAACGACACAGGGATTCAGTGTCTTATGCTTTCTATCGAAGCATTTCTACATAACAGAATATTAAATCACGTGAACTGACTCTCAGAAGTTACGCAATTCTTTTTTGTAAACAAAATATCTGCTTCCTTCCCGTTTTTTCTTGGGAAACCTGTCTAACTGTATTGATCAAGTAAAAAGTGATTGATCAATTTTTCTTTTCAATGAAACATTTTTGTATGGGACAGACGACGTTCTGTCGTATTGCAGGAGTAGTGTGACAATGAAACGAAGGATATGGGACAACTAGCTAACTGCACGTATCGATAACGTAAAGATGCCCTGGAGTGTTGGCCTGGAAAGCACCAGGAGACCTTGAGTTCGAACGTGAAGGGATTATTGAAAGAAGGCAACAAACGTTACCAGTCAGCGAATTCTTTTGGTTATGAAACAGATGAGTAATTCGACTGAGAAATACCCTTGGGTTTCACTGGGATCCAGATATGATTACCAGAGTGAAAGAATCCAAAATTCTGCGAAAACGATGCCATATTGATTTCCCGATCGAATACAGATGACGGTGAGACCACAACCATCCCGTTGTAAAGACAACAATGTTTAGGATATAGAGTAATATAATCGAAGTCGCACAGGAAATGACATCACCTTACATGGAGACCGCCAACCGCTTCACAGCGATGGGCTCAAATCGACCACATCTCCATCAGCCACCACTGGCGATGATTCNCACCCGTGGACACAGACCATGCTCTGCCATGAGCCAGATTCTCCCTACACCTAGTAAACAACCACAGAAAAGCCACGGAAAACCAATGCCCACAAAATAGTATCAGGAACGGTTGCAAATCGGCCTTCGAAGTGGAACTAACAGATCGCCTATCAGCTCAACCATCAGCCGGAGGACTCAGTGAACACTGGACGACAATCAAGGAAGTCATCGAAACGTCCATCTAAACAACGGCAGCTTCTCACGCACGATCAAATAAAAAAGGCTGGATCTCCCCGACTTCGGTTGCCCGGCTGGACGCTCGCAAATCCATTCCTTCGGATTCGAAATACGACAAAGCGCGCAAATCCTTTAAACGTCAGCCGAGCAAGAGTCTGAGGAATGACCGTGAGTAGTGGTGGGTAGGGAAGTGTAAAGAGATGATGAAGGCTGCGGCCTTTGGCAATGGTCGCAATCTTTTTCGTTTAATTAGGAGTCCAGGTCCAGAGAAAGTAGGTGTAAGTGAGTTAAACAAGGAATGTGACGGCACAATGATTCATAGTCAGGAACGTCGTCTTGAATTTTGGGCAGAACATTTTACGGCACAGTTTAGCTGGCCCCCGTCAACACAAGACCTCCCCCTACTCGCTTCAACTGATGATATCAGTCCTCCATCTGAAATGGAGGTTTCCCGAGAAATAAGCTATGGCAAAAGGTATAAGGCTTCCGGCACCGACGGACTATCCCCATCGGTTTTTAAGGAGGGAGGTTCAGACTTGGTTTCGGAGTAAACGAAACTCATGGGCTCGGTATGGGAGAGGGCCCAAATTAATGGTGCGAACCGGCCATCATACCGATTTACCAGAAAGGCGACAGATCCTCTTGTTGAAGCCACAGAGGAATCAGTTTGATCATCGTCGTCACTAAAATTCTCGCTGGTATTATACTCCGTCGATTGTCTGCCGCACGCGAACGGCGTACGCGTGAGAACCAGGCTGGTTTCAGACGTAGTAGAGGTTGTATCGAACACATCTTCACTCTTCACCCAATTCTACAGCACAGACACTCCTGTCGTAGATCCACCATTTCCATATTCCTCGATCTGAAAGGAGCTTTCGACTCAGTCGACCGCTCCAATTTCTGGCGCTGCCTCGCTCTAAAGGGTGTGCCCGAGAAGCTTATTTCAATATTATGATCCCTTTACTAATAGCCGAAAGAGAAAGTTGGCCATTACGGGGGCAGGACAAAAACAGATTGTCGGTATTCGACCACCGCTGCCTACGTCGCATTGCACCCATCTGGTAGGGTAACCGGACGACCAATGCTGAAATTAAACGTAGAGTTTTAGATAGCGGCGGTCGTCCATTGGAACAAGTGGTCAACCTCCATTGATTACCTTGGTTGGGGCATGTCTGCATGGTATTCATGAAACTTGAAAGCTGTTTTTTATCACGTAACTCTTCATGAATTGGTCTGCTTCAAGCTTACATCTCATTTCACTGACTCCATATAGTTATTTTTCTCGATCTTCTGACGCATAACTTGTCACAAGACCACTCATAGTTCCCTTAAGACGCGGTTCACATCTAACACAACATGTCAGCTATCGGACCCGTGAGACCTGCCTCGAATTTTCCCACTAGCAAGATGATTAATATTCTTATGCCCTAACCCAAACAAATTTTCGCACGTTCTCTGTTGTACTTTATTCTGGTTCGGTTTCGGTGACTGATTACCATTGGGTTGAGCCAACGCTGACTTCTGCAACTGCCTTGATAACGCCCTCCTCACTGGATCGTGTAAAACGGTTCAATAGTGATTG